AGCACAACGGGCCGCCGCCTTGGAAAGGACAGGAGCCAACTTGAGAGTCTGACGCTGTTATGAAAAATAGGTCTTCACCCAGTGCGCTCAGCACAGTGTCGCAATTCACAGGGAGGAAATTGCTCTCCACTTAGGAGCCGAATCCAGGCGTACACATACCTCCCAGAACATACATATGTATATATACACAGAGATGGAAAGCGTATATACACACCTGCATAGGAACAAACACATGTCTGTATATACTGTGAGCAGGCGAGAACCAGCCTTTTTAACATTATTAATTCAGCAAGGAGCTCGTTTGGCCTCTCTCTAGCTGCAAGAAAAGTCCTGGTGAGCATCTCTGAAAACAGACAATAGGGAACTGCCTGCCATCAAGAGAGGCTTACAGTTTGTTATCAGGCCAGGAAGCCAGAGAAATCCTCTGGCGCCCTTGAAGGATCATGGTGTAAATAGAACATTTAAGTGGAAGCCCACATCCCTAGGTCTGGTCCCACATCTGGGTTCTGGTCCCACATCTGGGTTCTGATCCCACATCTGGGTTCTGGTCCCACATCCCAGAGTTCTAATCCCATATTCCAGGGTTCTGGTCCCACATCCCGGGGTTCTGATCCTAGTCTGCCTCAGGGTGCTCTGGGCACCTGAGGACACTCCATCTTCTCCCTATTCCTTCACCCAGTAAATGAGATCTCAGACCAGGTGATTACTGAAGTCCAGTTCAGTTTACAGATCATGACTTCACAGGAAAGGTAACCACTGAAGATCCTCACGCTTTCGCAGAGTACCTCCGCTTCTCCTCAAATCCGTGCATACTGTAAAGCTTAATACCGTTAATAAAGATGTGAGAGTCAATTACAAACATGAGCTAATTCTATAATTGACTAGAAACTAATGTGGGGCTTTGAAGAGCATTTCTGCTTAAGTTGCTAATGACTCAGGGAACCAGCTATTACCGATTTTAAGGAGCCAGTCCCATTTGCTTTCAAGGATTGGGGAGGATGCCAGAGCTTCCCCTCCCCACCAAACCCTGATCCTGCCGCCATCTCTGCTCCAACAGAACAGCCCTGCTTTCTCCCGCTGTCTTTATCTAGGTCTCCGATGAGGTTCTGTTTGAACCCAGAGGTGCTTGAAAAACAGTTTAGCTCCCTGCTCCGGGGTAATACATCAGAGTGGAGAATGTGGGCTCTATGGTCAAACACACAGGAAAAGCTTCAGCAATTCCTAGCGGGTGACGTGGGCAGCCCGATGAAGGTCTCCAGGCTTGAGTTATGGAACTGCAGAACAAGCCAGCGCTCCCTTCCCTCAGTAGGCAAGGAACCCCAGAACCATGGTGGACACACACAGAGAGCCCCACTCCAATATGGTATCTGGAACCCCTTCAGATTTCCAGTGACAACAGAGCTGCTCATGTCAATGACAATGACAGTGGAAGAAATTCTGACCTAGTTTATAAAGTGCCTGTGAATGTGAAGGTGAGAAATGTAAGAGGGGCAAGAACCCAAGGTATTATAGGCAGCTCATTTGTTGTTCTTTGTTGGTTTTGGTGATGCAGCTGTCTCTGGAATCTTTTAACAAAAACAAAACACAAAACAAAAAAAGAGCCAAGAAATAAATTATTTCCTTTGGACCAAAATTACAAGAGCTGAAATATCTGAAGGCAGCCATGAGCAACATGTCAAATATGCCTCGTTAAGGAAAACTGTTAACACTTTAATAACTACAAAACGAATCGCTCAATTAATTTCCCACATGCTGAAACAGGTAACGATACATTTATCTGCCAGGATTACACCCTCCGCGTTGCATCTTTCCACAGCTGCCAGCAATCGCATTCAGCACAATGGGAAATAAGTTGCACCTCATGGATTCAGGGAGAGAATGTGGCCTGAGGTCTGCTGCCAGCTGAGCCACCTGACAGAGAGGTTGCTCTTTCGGTTTTGGTCCTGTTCGCTTTTTTCTCTTT